GCACACACACACACACACACACACACACACACACACACACACACACACACACAGTGAAATGACAAAGGGCACATTACTGTTTGGAAAATGTTGCAGTAAAATGCACACACACCACTGAGGCTGAGGTCTACTACACCTTCAAGAATGAACCCTGCCAAGTGCAAGAGCTATCACTGGAGTGCAGGAAGGTGAAAGGCCAATAGGACTGGGCAAACAAAGGCACCTAAGAACTGCAAGTGGCTGATTCAGGCTTGGTTTCAGGGAAGGGATTCCTAACCCAAGGGAGTAGTCAGTGTGGCAGCCAGTTGACAATGAGAATTTCAGTGATTCAAGAGACAACAGAACAACTCAGCAAAAGAGAAGGTGGTTTTGTTTCTGGGAAGAGGTGGTGGACATACTTCCCCTTCTCCTGCTACCAAGTGCAACTAAAATCCTAGATGCTATGTAGAAAACAAGACCCCGAGAGATGGAGAAAAAGAGCTGGAGTAACAGGACACCCCCACCCACCCAACTGTCAGACTTGGTGTCCAAGAAGCCAGCAACCAGAATGTCAATGGGGAAGACAAGTTTCTCTGACGCCTGTTCCCTCTAGCCAAGGGACAAGAAAGGGGGACACTAAGAGGTCAGACATGTTTTAGAAAACAACTACCTTAGAAAAAACACTGTGACCAGTGTCCAACCATGCCAGCAAGGGCCTCTGACTCCTAGGCTTCTGCCCTCCAAGACTGATGAAAAGTCTCCATCTCTCACCAGACAAAGCCAAGCAGAGGGGCATTTCATCTGTGCTGGTCAGTGCAGAGTCCCCCACTGCCCAGCGAGTAGACACCACACAGAAGAAAGGCTGCTAGTCCCATGTGTCAGTAAACTGGTGTCTCTCTGATGGCATAATATTGAGTAATAATGAGGCCATCCTATTCTTTCTTGTCAGGGTTATTAGTGGAAGCCTAGGAGGGAATCAGAACCATCTACCTACAGCTGCAGAAATAACAGGAGCCATCCATCTGGAACCCAGTGAGATCAAAAGGTTGGACACCTTGCTGCAAGGTTCCAGGCTTGGTGTTGAAACTGTCCTCAAGGGGTACTGAGGTGACTTGCTTCAGTGTCCGATCCCTGTCAACCAACCAGGGTGAGGGCAGAGGGTCAGGGCCTTGTGACAAGGCTCCCTCAGAGGTACATAAGCCCCCACAGAGTCTTTTCTGTGTTAGCCATTCCCACCCTGGGCCATTGATCATGGAACCTTCCATTCTGGCAATGCTTGTGTGATAGGAGAAAGGGGATAGTGTGGCTCGCCCTAGGCAGATTGAGTTTCTGGAAAGTTCTATTAAGTTGCCAATGTGAGCCTTGACTTCTTAGTCAAGTTTGTTTGGTTGTTTGTGTCTTATGATGACTTTTATGCCCAGCTTGAAGGTAGGTGGTTCCTTCATTAGTTCAAGGCCAGCCTGGCCACATAGTGAGTTCTAGGCCATTCAGGGCTATGTAGTGAGTCCCTGTCTCATATAAGAAACTAACAGACAAAAAATTTCAGCTAAGATTTAATTTTTAGTTGGGTGTGAGGCACATATCTTTGAGTCCCAGCAAATGAAAGGGCAGATGATGCACAACAGGCTAAGACAATTTTGAAAAAGGAGGATTTGGGGGAGGGGGAGAGATTCTGATGCCAGAGTTACTGGCCAGCCAGAGTAATCCAGATTGTATGTTGCTGGCAGAGGAACAGACAGATTTACTAAAAACAGAAGAGGACTAAGAAACAGACCCATGTAAATGTTCCCAACTGCTCCACCCCTTTTGAGTCTGGACTCTTTCCATGTTGTCCAGCATAGTCTTGAACTCTTGGACTCCAGTGCCCCTTCAAAATAGCCAAGACTGTAAGTCCACGTCATCTTACCTCGCTAGCTTCCAACTGGTATTTGACAAAAGAACACCGTAAGACATATGGTAAACACTAGCTATACTGCCTAGGGACAGAGAGAGAAAATGTTTATGTATTCTGTACAAATACAAATTTCCCTATGGGTATTTTTGATCTGTGATTGGCCAAATCCTCAGGTACAGAATTTAGACACCAAAGGCTGACTGAAGACATCACTGTGCTGTGTATGAACAGGGGAAGTGTGTGGCAGCCTTTTTTATTTCCTGCCAAGAGTTCCTTCCATGTCAGATGGTCCTCTGTATGTTAAATCACAAAGAGCAACGTGAAGCAGCCTAGACCTGCGGTGACTGCAGACAGAGGGAGCAGGCTGGCTCTGAGAATGAGCAAGGCATGGTGGTGACCAAGTGTGGCACAGTCTGGGAGGGGAGCCCCAAGCCACCTGCTACTTCTATCCCTGGTGACAATGCTCCCAAAGATAGGCTAACCAATCTGCCATTGATTCCTTGGACACCCAACAGCCCAATGGCTGGATATGGCTCCCTTAAACTTTCCACCAGGAAAAGGAAGCACTGTTCTGAAAATGTGGGTAGCCCATGCTTATTTGATGCCCTTTTTTGGTTGTTGTTGTTGTTATGGTTGGAATACAAAATGTCCCCACAGGCTCATGTATTGAAGGCTTGAACCTTGTCCTGGAGATGTTATTTGGAGAGGTTCTGGGAACTTTAGAAAGCAGGGCCTAGGTGGAGGGAGGTCATCACTGGGGTGTATTTTGGGGGGTGATGCCTTGTTGTTTTCTGGAAGCCACAAGGGAAACAGCCTCTGCCATATACTCTCTCTGTGATGATACTCTATGACACCTCAGGCCCAAAGCAATGGCAATTCTGAAACCATGAGCCAAAGCAAATCTCCCCATCCCTCAAATGATCTCTGTTACTGACTAACCCAGTGGATTCCCTGTCTTTGGTGGATCAGATTATGGGTAAATCAGCTCTGACTCGGATAAAGGGTCATATGTGGGCTTAGGGCTGGGTTTAGAGCCAGACCCTGCAATGAGGCCGCCTGACCTGAACTGTCTGCCGCTACTAGAGGTTATCAGCTAGGGATGAGCTGACTTAAGAGCAGGGGATTCTCCTTTCCCAGGTGGCCTCTACAGGGAGGCCAGAAGCAGCGCTGTGACAGGTTCCAGAGCTAGCCATGAAGAGCACTGCTTTCGTCATGTGTGGGCTGCTGAGGTGACACCATCCCATCAGCTTCCATCTGAAAGCACTGAGTGGTTGCTCACTTATTCAAGAAAAGCCGAGGAGGTCACCTCAGAGGTCCTTAGCACTTTATTCCTTACCTCTCATGTGACTCAGTGGGGAGTCCTCTGACCTACCTGTTTGGTTGGGAAACTCAGGCCTGGAGAGTAACAGTGATAGTCTAGCCTTGAGTCTGGCCTTCCGCTCGGGCAGGTCCTTTCTGTCTAGGCTTTTCTAATTCAGCCTATAACGCCCTGTAGAAAAAGCCCGTTTCTGAGGATGTACAGTGGGGACTACCTGGGTCTCTTAAGGACCTAGGGTCCCTGCTGTCTGGCTGTGACTGCTCCACAGGGCCCAGTGAGTGAAGGGAGAGATGGCCAAGACTATAGTCTGGAATACACAGCTGCATTCTTTTCTCTTTACTGTGTTTTTGTCTAGTAACAGGTCGAGAATCCATGTTTGTCCAACCTAGAAAGCAGGCTCTCGTCACCGCTGTGAACTTAGTCCAGGCCCAGATCCAGTTTTCACAGTGAGGGCAGCTACAAGCAGCAGAGGACCCGTCATCCTGAAATTTCACTCCGAGTTCCCCAAAGGTAATGCTATCCACAAACCCCTAGGCCGGGGTCACCTCTGGGAGGGGTAAGATTTATGGTGCTTGGCTTGAAGTTGAGTTTACAGAAATAGCAACACCTTAGGGATCAAATAGCATGTGTACATTATGTGATTATTTCAGGAAAGTGACTGCTCCTTGGGAACCAAGGCAGCGGCTCTGTGGTCTGGTGAGTGGCAGGCATGTGGGCCAGGTAGTATTTCACCTCCTCTCTAGGGAACGAGCCTTGGAGGCCTCAGCTGGAAA